TAGTAGACACCAGGAAACCTTTGGAGACTCTTAATTGGTTAGTGGTAACTTGTGCAAGGCTACAGTTACATCTTTACCTCCAGATCCAGGCCTCTTTCTACTACTTGATGCAAAACAAAGACTGCATCATTCTGTCTTGCCCAAAAGAATGAAAACAAACAAACAAAAAAAAGAAGACACAGGGATGATCCATGATTAAAATACACATTAAGTATTAAAATGCAAAACCTATAAAAGTTACTACAAGGACACTAAATCACAGTGAAATGAGATCATATAAATGCTGCACTTACAAGATAGAAACACAGGGAGGTACTTACATACATAAACATAGCCCCAGTGCTAGTGTATGACTCATCGATGTTGGTCAAGTAACGGAATACCAAGGTAACCATTTATATGCAGATGCTAATAGCACATTTGGCAGGGGAAAAACCAATGCCTATGTCACTTTATTCTAACATCTACAAAAGATTAGAGAAAATTATATTTTACATATCTAGGGAATAAAATGCACATGCCAAGAATCTAACTCTGAGAAGCCATTAAGAGATTTCTAAGAGACTGTCATGCAAAAATTAAGGCAGAGAGAAAGGAGACCATAAGAGATTCCCAGCATGTTCTTTATCCTCAGGGGACAGCATGGCTTTCAATCTAACAGAGATCTGTCTAGGTTTGTGGGACCATGTTTTTAAATCACAGGCTTTGGTCATGTCAAGAAACCAATTTCGTGAGTCATTTTACTCAATTTTTTTACATGAAAGAAAATAGAATCTATTACAAAATACCAGGTTGCATTTCCAATCACAAGAGAAGTACTTAACTTTGTATATTACTGTGTGCACATGTGTGTTATCAGTTAGCAATATAATAAACATTTTATATGGTAGGATGCTGTCACGAAAAGTCTAGAAGACTTACATTACAAAGGGTTCTATTTTTGATACATATTAAACACACTCAATTATGAGTACTGACCCTTTCCTCTTTTTCAGAGTCTGTGCTCAAATTAAACAGAGAGGGGGAGGAATATTAGCACTGGAAGGAGGAAGCAAATTAGTAGAATGTAAATGAGTGGACTGATAACAAGAGACCAGAAAGCAAAAGAATAAAACAGATGCGCTCTGACCTTTTTTCTAAAGCTTCCTTCTTCTAATGACTAAAGATTACTTCTATATTGTCCTTCCGCATTTGTGCACTGGATAAACAGTAGCTGCTTAATAAATGCTCCTCCAAGGAGCCCCTCCAAGCACCTGCATTCTCCTTGTGGTAACACTTTTCATTCAGTGGTGACTGTCTTAAAAAGACATTAAAAATGTCAATTCTCACTACTTGCAACAGCTCTTTGTAGCAGCTCTTTGAAGGCTGGGATCCTGTTTGGTCCACTGCTGCATCCCCACCTCTGTACAGTACCTGCTCAATAAGTTTTGGTTAGATTGAACTCAAGGGCATTCAAGGGCAATAAAAATCTAGTTCTAATACCCATTCAATGCTTGAGCCTTTTTGTAAGAACTGATTTCAGTTCATTGAGCAAAAGTTATTCTAATGAAAGGAAAACAATTACAATGAAACGCTAAGTTTAAATTTCCAGAGAGCAAATAACTTAAAATCTCTTATGCTTCTTTGCCCAAAAGACAGATTGACTTAAAGAACTTGTCACATCCTGTTATAGAATAAAGGCCTCCTAACAGGTTTTTTAAGAATATCACTTGGACATACTTTTTAGACCAATCTGGCTTTGGGGGAACATACAAGATGCTTTTTCTAGTCTGGACAGCTTGAGAACAACAAACACTTTGAATCTAAAGCTTCTGAGCTATTTCAGAGATCTACATTACTAATTAAAGCAAGCGTAGGGTGCCGAGGAGGGACTGAGGAAGAGGGCTGGATTTGGAGAGGCCATCATTCACAGTGAGTCAAGCCCTGATTGCTTCCCCCTAGAAGCCCAGGCAGAGGGGAAATGAGGAAGAGGTAGGAAGTAGTCTTTTGCCCTTCTCTTCTCTCTTCAACTCCATCATCCCTCCATGCCTGAGTAGCTGTGCAGGTGTTTAGGGTGGGTCACTAAGGATGAGTGTATGAGGTGGATGGTACTGGTCCCTAGGTGAGATTCCTTGGAAAGGCATATGGTAAATTGTCAAGGGGAAAATGGACGAAAATGCTCTATACCAAAATATTAAGTCAAATTCAAAGGATTGCTCACTAGTCGCTAGTTACTCTGCCAGGCAAATGTTCTGATAGCTATTCCAAAAAATTTTTTAAAAAGCTTCTTTATTAAGGACATCACTAAGTAGTAAACACAGAGATAAGACATTACTTCAGATACACTAAAGCAATGTCTTTACACTTCCTGTGTTTCGTTCCTTACGCACAGTCATATCTCACTTCTCTGTGATAGGGAGGCAAGGAGCAGAATCATTGGTCTGCAGAGTTCAGTGGATACCATGGTCCCTAGCAAACAGGTTCCACCTCCATCCCTCATCCAGCCTCTATCCCAGACTCCCTGTGACTGGCTGTCAGCATATGCTGAAGGAATATAAATCATCCTCAGGTTAGCCAAGCAAAATGGAATCAAGAGAGCAAGTTGGCTGGGGGCCAAAGGAACAAGAAGGAAGCTGCATTTCATCTAGTCCAAAGTTAAGCAGGAACAAAGTTCAGGTTTTAGGAAAAAATAACAGTCTTTGTCTCTACATAATTCTAACGTGAGTATAAATCCCTTCCTGCCTCAGTTTCCTGAGAAATTACATCTCAAACATAAAACTCATGTCTGTAATATCTATCAGTGGTGACTGCAACACCAAGATCAGCACATTACACTACCATTAGGATTTCAGTATGGCAAAATGGATTGGAGCAGAGGTTTTAGAACCAGAGGGACTCCAGGATGTTGACTCCATGGAGCTTGTCAGCCACAAGGAAATTTCTTATTTTTTTTTTTCATTTTTCTTTTATTATTCATATGTGCATACAAGGCTTGGTTCATTTCTCCCCCCTGCCCCTGCCCCCTCCCTTACCACCCACTCTGCCCCCTCCCCTTCCCCCCTCAATACCAGCAGAAACTATTTGCCCTTATTCTAATTTTGTTGTAGAGAGAGTATAAGCAATAATAGGAAGGAACAAGGGTTTTTGCTGGTTGAGATAAGGATAGCTATACAGGGCATTGACTCACATTGATTTCCTGTGCGTGGGTGTTACCTTCTAGGTTAATTCTTTTTGATCTAACCTTTTCTCTAGTTCCTGGTCCCCTTTTCCTATTGGCCTCAGTTGCTTTAAGGTATCTGCTTTAGTTTCTCTGCGTTAAGGGCAACAAATGCTAGCTAAGTTTTTAGGTGTCTTACCTATCCTCACCCCTCCCTTGTGTGCTCTCGCTTTTATCATGTGCTCATAGTCCAATCCCCTTGTTGTGTTTGCCCTTGATCTAATGTCCACATATGAGGGAGAACATACGATTTTTGGTTTTTTGAGCCAGGCTAACCTCACTCAGAATGATGTTCTCCAATTCCATCCATTTACCAGCAAATGATAACATTTCGTTCTTCTTCATGGCTGCATAAAATTCCATTGTGTATAGATACCACATTTTCTTAATCCATTCGTCAGTGCTGGGGCATCTTGGCTGTTTCCATAACTTGGCTATTGTGAATAGTGCCGCAATAAACATGGATGTGCAGGTGCCTCTGGAGTAACAGTCTTTTGGGTATATCCCCAAGAGTGGTATTGCTGGATCAAATGGTAGATCGATGTCTAGCTTTTTAAGTAGCCTCCAAATTTTTTTCCAGAGGGGTTATACTAGTCTACATTCCCACCAACAGTGTAAGAGGGTAGGGAAATTTCTTTAATCTCTCTGAACTTTAACTGTCTCATCTAAAAACTGGGAAAAATAGGGTTACTACACGGACTAAATGAGGATCTGTATATCAAAGGCTTATCACTGAGCCGATGCCCATAAATGATAGCTATGATGGTGATGCTTGCCCACTTAGAGAAACATACACAGGTAAAGAGCTGTCCTCTAGCCATCACAGGAAGTCAGATGACTTTCTCAAAAGCCACAGATGTTCAAAGTTTCAAATACCAACATGTCCGTCTATGTCCCTCCTCTTCTTCCCCACATTCTCTATTACTGTGTATGGTGTCCCAGCTTCCCTATTATCTAAATGAGAAATCCTACAATTCTCAACTCCTGCCCCCCCTTTCTCCCAGCAAATCCATCATTGGGTTCTGTTGATTCTGCTTCTTAAATATCTCAATTCCATCTGCTTCTCTTAATCTACCCACCATATTAGTCAGACCACCTCAACTTGTCCCTAAATGACACATCTCCAACATGATCTCCCTTCCCCTTCAATTCAATCTTCAAGCTGTAACAACTGTCATCGTACTAAAGTATAAATCTGATGGTGCCTCTTCTCTAACTTCAACTCATCAATAGCGCCCCCAAATAAAATCTAAGTCCCCTAGTGTAGCATGTAGAGCCTGCCATGACCCCCCTCCTTGGCCTCATCTCTCACCACTGCCCCTCTTGTTCTGTGTGCTCCTGCCACACCAAGTCACTCGCAGTTCACCACATGAGTCATGTCTGTGTCTCTGCAAGGACTTCAGAAGCAATCTCTGCTTGTTAGAATACTCTCCTACTTCCTTTCTTTCTCCATGAACACTCATACTCAATTTTTACGTTTCTGCTTAGATGTCTTTTCTTCCAGGAACCCTTCCCACTTGAAGACTAGGTTGGATGCCCCTTCCGTGTATCTGCTCATTTGTTCATTTCCCCTACTAAAGTGGGAGCCCCTTGAGGACATTTATCATTGAAAGACCCCAAGTGCCTTCAACAGCAACTGGCACAAAGCAGGCACTCAAATATTTGTCTTTAGATAGATAAATGTATGCTAGCAGTCGGCCCTGTCCTGGGGAGCATCTCTCATTGACAGTGGCAGTCTCTGAGCTGCTCAGGAGCTAAGCCAACCCTGGGTACCAGAAATCCATGCAGAAAGGGCAACACCTACCTAGGATGGCCACCACCTCGTCATCCTGGATCACCTCTAGGGAACCAGACACCACAAAGCAGAGGCTGTCGACACTCTCGCCTGCGTGGTAGATGAGGTCCCCCGGGGCGCAGTGCACAGTCTGGAACTCCATGGCTAGGGCCCGCAGGCAGCCATCGCTGGCCAGCCGGAAGGCGGGGTGCTCCTTAAACACCTTGCGGTTCAGGTGCACGCAGATGTCAGCCCTCATGTCCTTGGGGCAGATCTGCAGCACCTGGTGGGGAAAGGAAGCCACAATGTGAGGATCCACACGGGTGCTTCCAGCCCGTTTCCCTCAGCAGTGCAGGGGAAGAAGCAACACAAGCAAGGCTGGACTGCAATTCTTCTAGACCAGGTCCCTGGCCTGGTGGCACTTCCATTTTGTGGGAGAGACAGGCAGTGTCTAAAACAATGCGTGCTCAATGCTCAGGAAATGGGTCTGAGAGTCTGGGCTGGGAGTAGACCAGGTGTCTCAGCAGAGGAGACATTTAAGCTGATACCTGCACAATGTGTCAGAGTAAGCTATGTGAAAGAGGAACCTTCCAGAAGGATGGCAAACACAAAGCATTCCAAGGAGCAGGTAAGGGGGAGGAGCTAAAGATGCAGTTCAGGGACAGTGCCACGCCTCAGCTAATTTTAGGTTGTGATGAACTGTGGGTTTCATTCTGCTGGTGGGGGGAACCTTGGGATGGTTTTTGAACAAGGGAATAAAATGAGATGACATATTTTTAGAGGAATGGTGCAGCCTCAGAGTGGGGCTAGAGATCCCTCACTGCAGGTGGCAAGAGAAGAGTCAGAGGTCAGGAATATTATACATTGAGGCCAGTCTGGGGAAAAAGTTAGCAAGACCCCCATCTCGACCAGTAAGCTGGGTATGGTGGTTTCTGTGATCCCGGCTATGCAGGAGGCCATAGGTAAAAGGATCATGATCTGAGACAGGCACTAGGCAAAAATGTGAAAAGTAACTAAATCAAAAAGAGGGATGGGGATATGTCTCAATTGGTAGAGCATCTGTCTATCAAGTGCACGGTCCTGAGTTCAAACTCTGTACTACCAAAAAAAAAAAAGTGAAATTGGGGAATCCAGGTAGGTTGCACCTGAAGATGGGCAAGTGAGATGTGAGGGGAACTTTGGCTGGCTAGGCTGCTGGTAGTGGAACCAGTGAGGAGTGGACAGGTCAGATTATACTCATAAATAAATAAATGAAAGATTCAATTTCACGAATAGCAATTGCTCGAATTTAAAGGGTATAGCATGATACTTTGCTACATGTATGCATGTGATAATCAAATCAGGGCAATCAACATATTCATCCCTGTAAACATTTCTCATTTCATTGTTGAGAACAAAAGACTTGGGAGAAAGTTGTGCTGAAAACATTCAAAATACTCTCTTTTATCTATTTTGAAACACACAGTACATTTGGTTAATAGGTGCAAAATTAGGTAGATAGAAGGAATAGTTGGGAGCAATGGTGCATACCTGTAATAACGGCTACTTGGGAGGAGGAAATTAGGAGGATTGCAGTTTGAGGCCAGCAAGGGGGGGGCTATCTAAACCAACAAGTCATGTGTGGTTGTACACACCTGCAGTTCCAGCTATGTGGGAGGCATAGGTAGGAGGGTGGTACTCCAAGGTCAGCAATCCAAAAAGAATTAAAGCAAAAAAGGGATGGAGGTGTGGCTCCAATAATATAATGCCTGTCCAGCAAGTGCAAGGCCCTGAGTTCAAACCCCAATACTAAAGAAAAATAAAAGGAAGAAAGTTCTAGTGTTTTACAGGACAGTATGCTAAAGGATATATTTTGATTTTATAACTGACATGATCTGCTGATGGACTGAATAAGGGATTTTTAAAATACTTTCTGAGCACTCACTGTGTACAGGCATTGTTAGGCACTCCATTCCTTTATTTAATACCTATCTATTAAGCACCTTATCTTATGGCATGACAGCTCCAGGGATGTGGCAGTGAAAAAAAAATAAAGTGTCTACTCTTGTGCAATTTACTGACCAGTAGGGAGAGACAGACAATAAGAAAATAAATTTAGTAGTAAGTGCTAAGAAGAACAATTAAGGAGAAAAAATAAGAAAAGAGGGCTAAGGAAGTTGAGAAGGGATATGAGTTTACATTTTAAAAGATGCCTTAGCTCTCTCTGTCCTCACATATATGATGTTAGTGCTATTATTAGATTAGTTTACAGATGAGAAAACTGAGGCACAGAGATGCTTGCTAACTTTCCCAAAGTTGCACAACCAGGAAATAGCACAGCTGGGATCTCAAAGTAGGTAACTCAACCTAGAGCCCAGGGTATGTTCTGACCAGCTCCGTACCAGGCAGCCGCACAGAGCAGGTGGGTTGTACTTTGACTTGCAGCATTTTGAGAGCAAAATATGAACTGCAGGCCATGAGGGTCTCATCTAAAAAAAATGGAAGCTTCTCCAGCTTTTCTAGAGGAAGAGAAATTTCCCTTAACTAAATTTTTGTAAGAAATCATTACATTGACTCTTCCACAGCAAGTGTTAAACACCTCCAAGGGGACTTTTCTAGAGAAAGCTGGAGTGTTTCTAAAATAATAATTTCTTCCACTCGAGTCTGTGAACAACGTGGGGAGAATAAAACCAAATACGTTCAATGCACACTTTTCTTCGTGATGCTGGGAACTTTCCCTCCCTTGCTTTTTTACCATACCCAGGTCATTTTCCTCTGCATCTAGAACTCATCCAGGACTTTGGAAGTCCACCAGCTTCCTCCAGCTCAAATCACACCTTGCCCTTAATAGCTTTATTCAGCACCCCTCCCCCACCCCTGCCTGGTGCCCCTGTGCTCTGCATGGAGGTGCGGCAGTGGAAAGAAGTCTAATCGAAATGCCTGCTCCTTCCTCTCAAAGTGACTTAACTGCTCTGTGTTACAGTTTCTTCTATAAAACGCAGATGGCTAACATTGACTTGTGAAGGTGAAATGAAATTGCCAAATCTACCGAAACACTGCCTGGTCAGTGCCTGGCCCCACTAGGTGACTCAGTAAACCCATCTCCCCTTCTATGTGCCTCTGCATTCTTGCTTTGGGGTTGCAGGAAGCCCAGGTAGGTGAATACACTTTCCGGGAGTGGGGAAAGAGGGCTGACCAAGATCCTCAGACAGCCAAAGCCTGGGAAGAGTGCCTGCTAAGTATCTCAGGACAAACCAGATTCCCACAGAAGTGCAGACTTAATTCGGGTTTTCTTCTCTCTAAGCAGATCACCAGAGAGTGGGAGCTTGCACATGTCACATCAAAACTGTGCCCAGTAGCTCGGCACCAAGATTAATTCTCCAGGTGAGTTCCCATGTAAATATTTGGTTTCCCGAGTTGGGCTCTGCTGGCGGAGGCTGGCAGTGAATGAGGCCTTGGCACGGAGGCAGTGTTTTATTCATGGCACCCATCCCAGAGCCCAGGAGAGCACTGTGCAAATCGGGGAGGGGATCTGGAGTGGAGGAATGACAGACTGCCAGGCCATAAGGCATTTCCATTACCCTTCTTGTCTACTGGCTTCACGCTGGGTGTGAGGAGGTGGGTTGGGGGTCCTCTAATCCTCTCTTTGAAGGAAGGTCTCAGCTCTTCCTGGGAAGCCTTCCTTACCTCAAGGCTCTGATAGATACCATCCTTCTATTCCTGGAGGGCCTCTAAGGCCAGAGAGATGTCACTATGGAAGCTCTGTACTCCCCACTCCCACCCAGGCTAGGCAACACAAGGTCAAAGTTAAGACAGAGGCTTTAGTATCAGGCAGTTCTGGATTCAGTTCTCTTCAGCGCTCATGGGTTGGGTGAACTTGAAACATTGCTTTTCTCCTCTTGTTAAGTTTTCATTTTTGAACTTGTGTGTGGACTTCTTGTGAAGATTCCATGAGTTGTTGAGTGGTGAGTAATTAATGCCTGTGAGTCCTTATCTTGTGGATTTATCAGAGCAGCAGCATAAGGTCATCAGAGGGAGGCTCTGTAGTCCAGAAGGTCATAACTGAAAGGGCCTTAGAGGTCATACAGTCTGGAAGGTCATCAAGTTGCCATGTGTTGGAGACATGGAAACTGAGGCTTAGACAGACATATGACAAGCTTAAGGCCACCAGCCAGTTACTGGTAAAACCAGAAGATCCCAGTTCTCCTTCTCCAACACTCAGGCCCTCAATCATCGCTGATGACTCTGACTTGGAAAGTAGGGGACAGGAGCCAGGCAGAGGCATGGGACCAGACACTGGCTCTCTTCCAGCAGCTTCCTGTCACATCCCCCAATAGGCTGGGCTCTGAAGTGAGTCACCATAGTTGAGTCCCTTGTCATTGCCTGCTCCATCTGTCAGGATCTGGGGCAAATCCCAGAGTCCTCCAGGAAAGTGAAATGGCAAGGTGGGTGAGGCAGGCCAAATGCTGACTGTGCTGTCTCTCATGGGCAACTGCCCTTCCAGTCAGGGAGGGTGGGAAAGGGCTTCTAGATACAAATGCATCTAATGCCTGGGAAAAAGAGCTCCAGGGCTGAGATCAAAGTTCCTTTCTGCTCCATCAGCTGCCAGGAACCCACAGAACCTACCGGCATTGTTGAGAGAGCAGAACAGGAACGACAGGGCAGCTGGGGCAAGTGGGTGCCAAAGCCAGGGACTGGTGCCCTGCCCATGAGGGAAATTAGAACGGGGCAAGTGGGTGCCAAAGCCAGGGACTGGTGCCCTGCCCATGGGGGAAATTAGAACTTCATTTGAACTCATCCTTGTTACTTCCAGTACATGCTTTAAATTTAAAGGGGAAGGGGCACCATAGGAAAAGCGTAAGTTTTGAAGTCAGAAAAAACTGGGTTCAAATCCTAGCTTTACCATTCTTCAAGGCCAGAGGCAGACAGCAAAATGAGTTGGGCCTCTTGTCTTCATCCCTTCAACAGAGATCACAGTCACACAAGGCATTGCCGCAGGCAGGCACACAGAAGAACCACCGCAAATATTTGTTCTTAATGGTAATTGGTGCCCTGGTGGTTTGTCAACAAAACAGTCAACAAAACCAAAGTGATGTTCCTTTAAAGCAGAGGATCAGTCAAATTTAATTCAATTTTTTTCTTATAAACTGGCAACTCTCAACTGTCTATTCTAATGGAGGAAGACAGGAACATGGTTGGCTGATTCCAAAGCCAGCTGAATTTGGATTTCACACAATGATGTTATCTTTCTGTTTTCCTAATCATAACAGTGAGAGGAACCTATATTCCCCAGGTACGAACAGATTGTCAAATAAAGGTGGAAAGTGGGATTGAAAGACTGAGAAGTAGAGAAAAGCTGAGGTGGGATTTTAATCTTTCCTTATAGAAAATATATAAAAGCAATTCATAAATGAATAATAGAAAGTACACTGCATCTTTTCTCTATTCTTTCCAATACCAAGTTTTCTGTACTTTACTAAAATGTATCTGGAAAAATACAACTGTTAGAGAACAGTAGGAATTTATCACACTCTCCTTTACAGGTGGGAAAACAGATGTCTAGAGAGGTACCTAACTGATACTCTGGTGACTAAGGCACAAGCCCTTGATTAGTGTTTCCAAGACATGGCTGATGAGTGAGGTCACCTGGACACTTGCTGGACCCCTATGTACCTCACCCTGAGCTCACGCACCACTGAGGTAGCGGCCAGGAATCTGCCTTCACTGACCACATCATGGGGCTCTTATCAGGACTGAGAGGAGAGTGAGATGAGAGAGGACATAACCCTGGGTGCATCATTTAAAGGGATGACAAAAACAGTCAGTGATCAAAAGAAATTATGTTTTACATCCATGTTTATTGTGGCACTATTCACAATAGCCAAGTTATGGAAACAGCCAAGATGCCCCAGCACTGACGAATGGATTAAGAAAATGTGGTATCTATACACAATGGAATTTTATGCAGCCATGAAGAAGAACGAAATGTTATCATTCGCTGGTAAATGGATGGAATTGGAGAACACCATTCTGAGTGAGGTTAGCCTGACCCAGAAGACCAAAAATCGTATGTTCTCCCTCATATGTGGACTTTAGATCAAGGGCAAACACAACAAGGGGATTGGACTTTGAGCACATGATAAAAGCGAGAGCACACAAGGAAGGGGTGAGGATAGGTAAGACACCTAAAAAATTAGCTAGCATTTGTTGCCCTTAACTCAGAGAAACTAAAGCAGACACCTTAAAAGCAACTGAGGCCAAGAGGAAAAGGGGAACAGGTACTAGAGAAAAGGTTAGATCAAAAAGAATTAACCTAGAAGGTAACACCCACACACAGGAAATCAATGTGAGTCAATGCCCTGTATAGCTATCCTTATCTCAACCAGCAAAAACCCTTGTTCCTTCCTATTATTGCTTATACTCTCTCTACAACAAAATTAGATATAAGGGCAAAATAGTTTCTGCTGGGTATTGAGGGGGTGGGGAGAAGGAGGGGGCGGAGTGGGTGGTAAGGGAGGGGGTGGGGGCAGGGGGGAGAAATGAACCAAGCCTTGTATGCACATATGAATAATAAAAGAAAAATGAAAAAAAAAAGAAATTATGTTTTAATGGGATATATTTTTTAAAAAAATCAAAGTTCCTACAAAAAAATCTATGATGAATAAAATATCAACAGTTTGAATAATGTCAAGATCACTGACAATGTTGTATTATCTTAAAACCTAGGGCAAAAGGAAAAATCAGTAATACTAATCACCAAACCGACCTCTTTTTTTTTTTTTTTGGTGGGACTGAGATTTGAATACAGAGGTTTGTGCTTACAAAGCTACCACTTGAGCCACACCTTAGTTCATTTTGCTCTGGATATTTTAGAGACAGGGGTCTTGAGAACTATTTGCCTGGGTTGGCTTCCAGCCATAATCCTCCAGATCTCAGCCTCCCAAATAGCTAGGATTACAGGCATGAGCCGGCAGCACCAGGCTAATCACCTTCCTCTTGACATGGCCCTGATTCTTACCATTACCCAAATTTAGGGAATTCTATCCCAGTTAGACTTCTGTTTCCCCCCTTCTCCAGGAGACACAGTTTGCCTTTGATTTCTTAAACAATGTCTGTACCTGCTGGTCCTTCAGGAGGGCTGATCTGGAAGAAATTAAAACTTCTGGACACATGACCTGGGAATCCAACTCTACCCAGGCGAATTTTTAGCTCAGTTAGGTTTGAGAGCCTCAGTCATTCTAGGGAAAGCTGAAAGACCAGTGGCTTTCTTGAGATTCTCACACTCTTTACCTTCTCTGTGTCGATGCCTCTGGACATGGACCAGGTGGACACAATATAGTCCATGACTCGCTCACTCAGTCCTTTGGGCACCTGGTAGAGCTTCAGGAAGTCCCGAACACTGTTGAGCATCTCATGATACCTGTTGGTGTTGGCGTACATCTGTTGGAAAATGGTCGTCACATTCCCAAAGATGGTGGCATAGAGGAGTGCTAAAGGTCAGGAGGAAGAAACAAAGAGTGAGTGATCCCTGAACCAGTGTCCCAGACCCCTTCCTAATGCTGATTGCCCTAACCTTCTCAGAAGGACCTCACAGCTCAAGCCTTTGAGGGAGTGACCCCAAAGAAAGTCTCCTTACATCAAACCACTAGGACAAATGGGTGAGAAGGCCATACCAGGTTGGATGAGAGCTGGTGTGACCAAGGGCCAGAGCTCAGACACAAATAGCAGTGGTGGCAGGAGGTTAGAGGTACAGGAAGTTGTATTGATTCACTTTTTACTTACTTCTCATCACAAAAAACCTGAGCCATGTCTGAGGCCACCAGTCAAATGTGTGCCTTGTACTCCATACCAGTCCAAATCTAAACCTATAAGCGAATGGTCTTTATCAAGCCCTGCTAGTTGTCAAATACTCTGCTACTTGCAAGGGACAGGGTGGTAAATGAGATACTCAGTCCTGGTCTTCACAGGACAAACGTAAAAGGAAGAACAGACTGTGAATTTGCAATCACAGAAATTAAATAATAGCAAGTCTGCAGAGGACATTAAAAGATGTGATAACCTTGTTTTGCACTTATTGTTAAATCCTTGTATTGTACTTATTGTTAATTCAGCAATCTGCTTCACCGTGATATGGGGAAAAATGCATGGTTTTGATATGGTAAAAATAAAATCAGACTCCCTGGGAGATGTAACAACTATGTAGGATCTTGAAGGAGGACCATTAGGTCATTACAAGACCCTTTGTTTTTTCTCTTAACTTCCAATTGCCTTTAAATGCTGAGCTCAAAAACCAACACTTCCAGAAAACCTTCCTCCAACACCCTCTCCCTCCATCTGTCACCATGAGAGTGACTGAATTACCAGGCGTATTTCTACAGCGTTCCTATTATACTACTCAATCACGTATGTGCTTTCTTGACCTGTTTACTAAGAGTATGAGTTGCTGCTTGAAGCCTGGACACATCTTTCCCTCATCATTGTGCTCCCGAGGATTTAACACTATTCCAGAACTTAACAAATGTTTGTTAAATTAGTGAATTTCACATGTTTTCGCTCTGGCTTTTTGAAACAAATAAGTTATTGGTATTCAATAAACTGCACATGTTTAAGGTACATAATTTGATCAATTGACAAATGTATTCATCCATAAGACCATCACCACAATCAAGATGGTAAATATATCAACCCCCCACCGAAATGCTTGATTATATCCCTTGATAACCCCTCCATCCTACCCTTGCCTGCTCTCCACCCTTCCACCCCCAGGCAACCACTGATCTCTTTTCTGACAGAATAGATTAGCTTGCATTTTCTAGTTTCATGTGCATGGATTCATGTAGTATGTACTCCTTTTTAAATCTACTTATATAATTCATATACCATAAAGTGCACCCGCTTAAAGTGTAAATTCAATGGTTTTTAGTATACTTCCAATCATCGCCAGAATCTACGTTTAGAATATTTTCATCCCACCCCCCAACACACCTATTATCTGGCATTCATCTTCTCCCAATTGCCTAGCCTTGGCAATTGCTAATTTACTTTCTGTTTCTACAGATTTACATATTCTGAACACCTCATATAAATTAAAATCATACAATATGTAGCCTTCGGTGACTGGCTTTTTCCACATTGTAGTATGTGTCAGTACTTCCCTTTATTTTTGAATAATATTCCATTTAATATTCCATTGTATGGGGTACAAGTCATTTGTCTACTCCATTTCATTTCTCACTTATCAGTTAATGAACATTTGGGGTTTTCTCCTTTGGGGTTGTGATAAATAATGCTACTTTAAACATTCCTGCACAAATGTTTACGTGAACATGTTTTTATTCTTTTGAGTATGTACCGGGGAGTGAAGTTTCTGTGTCATATGGTAACTACGTTTAACATGTTGAGAAGCTTTTACAAAGTGGCTTCATGGTTTTTATATTCCTACAGTGGATGAGGGTCCAAGGTGCCCACATCCTTATCAACCCTTACTATCAGCTGTCTTTCTGATCGTCACCATCCTAGTGAGTGCGAACTCTTCGTGGTTTTGAATTTCCTTTCCGTAATGGCTGATGATGGTGAACGTCTTTTCATGTGCTCAGTGGACACTCGTGTATCTTCTTTGGAGAAATTTCTATCCAAGTGTTTGCCCATTTTTCAGTTGGGTTGTTTGCCTTTTTATTACTGAGTTGTGAGAATTCTTTATATACTCTGGATACAAACTCCATCACTTATGACTCAGGGATGCTCCTGGCTTGGCCTGCTTCTGGACATTCTGGAAAGTTAAGGGTCCTTAGGAGAGATATATCTAATTATTACTATTATTACACAATAATAGTAATATAATAATTATTATTATTGTATTAAAAGTTGATAATTCTCCTCTAATCTGCAAATGCTTTTTCACATCAGATAGGCTGCTTTCTTTCTTTACAATACCATTTGTAGAATGAAAGTTTTTAGTTTGATGTTATTCAATTTCTTTGGTATTCCTTTTTGAACAACTTCTTTCATTAGGCATAATTATCTTGCTTATGTTATATTCCTTACTTAATTTTTTTACTTAAATATTTGGAAATAATTAGAAATTCACAGGAAGTTGCAGAGAGATTCCAGGTATCCTTCACCTAGTTTTCCCCAGTAGTTACATCATACATAACTAAAGCATAGTATAAAAATCAAAAGATTGCCATTGCTGTAAAGTGTTTGTATACTTCTGTGTCCTTTTACCCCTGTGCAGATTAGTGAAACCAGCACTACATTCAAAACACAGAAGTATTCCATTCCATTGCCACAGAGCTCCTCATGCTACATCTTTATAGTCACACTCCCCCAGGAACCCAAAGCATTTCTCCTTTATTATAATGTCACTTTAGGAATGCTACATAAATGGAATCACATACTATATGGCCTTTTGGTACTGGCTTTTTCACTCAGTAAAACGCCCTTAGATCCATACAAGCATTGTATGTTTCAGTAGCTCCTTCCTTTTAGTTGGTAGCACCTATCCCTATACAGATGCACCACAATCATCTCTTTCAAATAATTTTATTTAGGCTTAGCAGACAGATTATGGAAAGAAAAAAACAAAAGAGAAGTGCATGGATCTAGAGGTAAGGGAAAGACTGAAGACACAAAGCCACCTGAAGTGAATTATAAACAAGCAAGGAAAGAGTGCTGCCAGCTCTGGAAAGGTTCCCGGGAGTGGTGATAAGCTGAACAGGAATCAGATTCAAAAGCAGAAGCAGCTCAAAGCCTGTATAAGGATATCATTTAAGCTTATAAATAACCTCATAAACAATCAGAGGTCAAAGCTCCTCCCTCCTCATGCAATCATGTCACTGAGCATGCTCAGTCAGTCCTCCTAGGTACAGGGAATCTGTTTCTAACTCAACAAGCCTGTTAGGCTGTCCTGCCCCAGCTGTTTTCTGATCCACAATGAATTGGGATCACTGGCAAAGAAGAGAGTGTTTTTGTTGTTGCTCTTTGTTTGTTTGATTATAGAATGGCTTCCAGAAAACTAATTTAATCTCAACCTTAACAAAGTACTTATGTCAAATCAATAACATAGTAAGGATAGCTCTGTTGTTTGTAATCTGAGAACTAGACAGTAAGTCCAAGACACTGCTGGGCCGGTCAGATAGTCAAAGTAGTGATGCTACATCATCACTTCTGGCTCAGGGCTGCTCCTGCCTGAAGCATTCTGGAAGGTTAAGGGTCCTCAGGAACACCATATTCTATTATTATTGGTAGTGGTGATGGTGGTATCTTCCTCTTTCTTGGGTTATTTTTGGTTTTTTGGTAGAAGACATCCTCCAGTAACTTTATTGCTTGGGTAGGTGTAGAACTATGGATTGGCTATCATTCTCCCAGAATTTTGGAAAACATTTCTCTAGTCTATTGTTGGAAAGTAAAAAAATAAACCATTTATATCCTCATTCTTCACATTAAATCTGTTTTGTGTCTCTAGAAATCCTTTTTCCACAATGTTCTGACAACTCATAATGACATACATTTCACCATGGTTTCACTTTCATCCACTGTGCCGAGCTACAGCAAGCCCTTTCAACCTGAAATTTATGCCCTTGTTTTCAAGGGACTTTTCTTGGATTACTTATTTTGTGATTTCTTACCCTCCACCTCTTTATTCTCTTTTTTCAGGCCTCTTATTATACAGATATTGGACTTACGGATTAATCTAAAAATTGTTCTTTTTTTTTCATTCAAAAATTTCCAATTTTCTTTTTTTCTTTTTTTTTATTATTCATATGTGCATACAATCTCCCCCCTGCCACCACCCCCTCCCTTACCACGGACCCCACACGCCTCCCTCTCCCCCCTACCCCCTTAATACCCGGCAGAAACTATTTTGCCCTTATCTCTAATTTTGTTGTAGAGAGAGTATAAGCAATAATAGGAAGGAACAAGGGTTTTTGCTGGTTGAGATAAGGATAGCTATACAGGGCATTGACTCACATTGATTTCCTGTGCGTGGGTGTTACCTTCTAGGTTAATTCTTTTTGATCTAACCTTTTCTCTAGTACCTGTTCCCCTTTTCCTATTGGCCTCAGTTGCTTTTAAGGTATCTGCTTTAGTTTCTCTGCGTTAAGGGCAACAAATGCTAGCTAATTTTTTAGGTGTCTTACCTATCCTCACCCCTCCCTTGTGTGCTCTCGCTTTTATCATGTGATCAAAGTCCAATCCCCTTGTTGTGTTTGCCCTTGATCTAATGTCCACATATGAGGGAGAACATACAATTTTTGGTCTTTTGGGCCAGGCTAACCTCACTCAGAATGATGTTCTCCAATTCCATCCATTTACCAGCGAATGGTAACATTTTGTTCTTCTTCATGGCTGCATAAAATTCCATTGTGAATAGATACCACATTTTCTTAATCCATTAGTCAGTAGTGGGGCATCTTGGCTGTTTCCATAACTTGGGTATTGTGAATAGTGCCGCAATAAACATGGGTGTGCAGGTGCCTCTGGAGTAACC